CCGCGACTATAATTTTTTGGTCGCACCGGTTGCAGTTAATTTTCCTTTGGTCGCGCCGGTCGCGGTTAACGTTTCTCCAGTCGCACCGGTCGCGAACACATTGCCTCGGACCGCAACGTCTGGAAATGCCAAATTTTGTTAGCGGCGGTCTGAAAATATCCAATTTCGGTCGCGTCAGTCTGGAAATACAAAAATTTGATTGCGACCGTCTGATCAAAAAACCACAACCTCGACCCGAGTTTTGATTTCTTGTGAACTGCAGTTCATATTCCAAAGCCTTGGAAGGTTTTGTGAAGATTCTTACAAGCTTTTAACTTAACTTAACCGTTTTAATGCACACTCTCCAAGAGTGTTCAGGAGTCATTTTTATCAGTTGATTATTTTAATTGTAGACAAGTAGATGGGCTGTAATAAAGGAAAATTTTCTCATTTCGCAAGCAAACAGCAACGACTCAAACGTGAGAGGAATACCACCGTTTGACAAAACCATATGGTGGGTTTATCAATTCTGCGGAAAGCGTGGATCGATTTTTTTACCTTGCGGTAATCGCTAAAGAAAAAGTACATATCAAAAATTTACTTAATTCGATAGAAAGACACCACCCACAATCATTTGTATTCGGCAATCTAACGCATAGCAAAACAGAAACTCAAAAATCCGCACGAATCGAAAGAAATATTTAAGAATAAAAACAGTTTCGACGGCGAAGTAACGGCATCGATCAAGACCGACACAAAACGTTTCAACCGAATGAAAATTGACAAAGAATAGTAAAAATTTGGCTCAATATTATATCTCACCCTTGTAAAACAAAATAAGTTTTGGACAGAAATGCATTAAAAACATCCTTCAGATTTTTCTTAGGGAAGTTTGCGAGATCTTGTCTAAAATCATCATAAGAAAAATGAATGTCATATTTGGAAGAGAGGAACTGTTGAACAAAAAACAACGCAACAGAGAGTCCCTACAACAATTTTAGGAAGCTTTAACCAATTAGTTTTACAAAAATAAGACAAATCCGCCGGAGAGCACGAGTCGATTACAGACTTTTTCATATATTTTTTTGAAAAACTCAGACATTCAAAAAAAGCTATTGACGGAAATTTAACAACCATAGGATGCATTGAACAGCACTGATAGACAAAAAATGGTATTACGACAAATTTTTTGACCGCTGCGACTAATTTTTTGACCACCGCAATTAATTTTTTGACCACCGCGACTATATTTTTTTGGTCGCACCGGTTGCAGTTAACTTTCCTTTGGTTGCGCCGGTCGCGGTTAACGTTTCTCCAGTCGCACCGGTCGCGAACACATTGCCTCGGACCGCAACGTCTGGAAATGCCAAATTTTGTTAGCGGCGGTCTGAAAATATCCAATTTCGGTCGCGTCAGTCTGGAAATACAAAAATTTGATTGCGACCGTCTGATCATAAAACCACAACCTCGACCCGAGTTTTGATTTCTTGTGAACTGCAGTTCATATTCCAAAGCCTTGGAAAGTTTTGTGAAGATTCTTACAAGCTTTTAACTTAACTTAACCGTTTTAATGCACACTCTCCAAGAATATTCAGGAATCATTTTTATCAGTTGATTATTTTAATTGTAGACAAGTAGATGGGCTGTAATAAAGGAACATTTTCTCATTTCGCAAGCAAACAGCAACTACTCAAACAAGAGAGGAATACCACCGTTTGACAAAACCATATGGTGGGTTTATCAATTCTGCGGAAAGCGTGGATCGATTTTTTCACCTTGCGGTAATCGCTAAGGAAAAAGTATATATCAAAAATCTATTTAATTCGATAGAAAGACACCACCCACAATCATTTGTATTCGGCAATCTAACGCATAGCAAAACAGAAACTCAAAAATCCGCACGAATCGAAAGAAATATTTAAGAATAAAAACAGTTTCGACGGCGAAGTAACGGCATCGATCAAGACCGACACAAAACGTCTCAACGGAATGAAAATTGACAAAGAATAGTAAAAATTTGGCTCAATATTATATCTCACCTTTGTAAAACAAAAAAAGTTTTGGACAAAAATGCATTAAAAACATCCTTCAAATTTTTCTAAGGGAATTTTGCGAGATCTTGTCTGAAATCATCATAAGAAAAATGAATGTCATATTTGAAAGAGAGGAACTGTTGAACAAAAAACAACGCAACAGAGAGTCCCTACAACAATTTTAGGAAGCTTTAACCAATTAGTTTTAAAAAAATGTGACAAATCCGCCGGAGAGCACGAGTCGATTACAGACAATTTCATATATTTTTTGAAAAGCTCAGACATTCAAAAAAAGCTATTGACGGAAATTTAACAACCATAGGATGCATTGAACAGCACTGATAGACAAAAAATGGTATTACGACAAATTTTTTGACCGCTGCGACTAATTTTTTGACCACTGCAACTAACTTTTCGACCAATGCGACTAGTTTTTCGACTATCGCAATTAATTTTTTGACCACCGCGACTATAATTTTTTGGTCGCACCGGTTGCAGTTAATTTTCCTTTGGTCGCGCCGGTCGCGGTTAACGTTTCTCCAGTCGCACCGGTCGCGAACACATTGCCTCGGACCGCAACGTCTGGAAATGCCAAATTTTGTTAGCGGCGGTCTGAAAATATCCAATTTCGGTCGCGTCAGTCTGGAAATACAAAAATTTGATTGCGACCGTCTGATCATAAAACCACAACCTCGACCCGAGTTTTGATTTCATGTGAACTGCAGTTCATATTCCAAAGCATTGGAAGGTTTTATGAAGATTCTTACAAGCTTTTAACTTAACTTAACCGTTTTAATGCAAACTCTCCAAGAATAATCGTAAACAAAAGCTCATTAAAAATTTCGATTACCAAAAAATACAAGATTTTGTTCCGTTTTGCCGTTTCAAAGTGTTGTAATTCATTAATTTTTAAAATTGTTCAACCGGTCCCTTTGTTTGACATTGATACTTTCATTCTCTTCGGCGGAGAGAATGCTCTCTCACTTTTTCTTTGTCTTAACTTTGAGAAGGAATCATTTTTATCATTTGATTATTTTAATTGTAGAAAAGTAGATGGGCTGTAACAAAGGACCATTTTCTCATTTCGCAAGCAAACAGCAACGACTCAAACGTGAGAGCAATACCTCCGTTTGACAAAACCATATGGTGGGTTCATCGATTCTGTGGAAAGCGTGGATCAATTTTTTTTACCTTGCGGTAATCGCCAAGGAAAAAGTAGAAATCAAAAATTTACTTAATTCGATAGAAAGACACCACCCACAATCATTTGTATTCGGCATTCTAACGCATAGCAAAACATAAACTCAAAAATCCGCACGAATCGATAGTAATATTTAAGAATAAAAACAGTTTCGACGGCGAAGTAACGGCATCGATCAAGACCGACACAAAACGTTTCAACGGAATGAAACGCTTCATCGCATGATCAGATTCTGTATTAAGTGCAATTACAATTTTTGATAACGATTGAAAACAACTTGAAAAATTCAGCTAGCAAAAGAGGAAGGTTCTTCACATGTTGAAACTACGCGACTCCAAACTAGAATATTTATCTAGTGGATCAAACAAAAAAGATTTGTAATGCGTTATCACCGACAATGCCATCAACATCACAGGCAAATTAAATATCCCCATATTTAGAAACGGATGGTCCCACGAAGAATGTCACTGTTTTCTTATCAATGGAGAAAGATCATTGGAAGCAACAATTTACCAATAATGGGAACTGAACTAAAAGAGAAACACTTCCCGCACTTCCAGATCTAACAGAACAGTAAGTCTAAAAATTTTTTTGCTACCGACAAAATTACCTAGAAAATGATTTTGTATTCAAGACTGTAAAGCAATATTCCTTCGGATTGGAAAAATTAAAAACCATACAAAAACTAAACAATTCCACAATTCACTGAAACCAGTCAAGTTAAAGGGTAGACACAATTCCTTCCACTTATCGGACGCAGTAAAAAACAAATTAAATCAATTTAAATCCGAAGGATACATTAAGAACTAGAAAACTGCGATGAAGATAGATTCATCAACCAAATCGTTATCACTTGTAAAACAGATAAATCTTTGAAATTAGCTAAAATTTAAAGTTCATCAACAATCAGATTTATAAGAAGAAATATCACTTGCCAAAAATACATGAATTAGTATAAAAAGTGATAGAGAAAAGTAAAAACGTTATCACATATTTCATGTATGTTTGGGATGTGTTATTTGTTCTTTTATATCTGCTTCTTGACGAACTTTGAATATAATGCCAACTTCAGCCACTTGTCTGTAGTGCAAATGATAACGAGTAAGCTGATGAATCTATCTTCATTGCAATTTTCTAACTTCTTAATGTGTTCTTCGGATTTAATTTGATGTAATTCGGTTTTCACTTTTTACTTTTCTCTATCACTTTTTAATGTTTCAACTCACTTCTCGTTTCTTTTTATCATTTTTAATTTTTTTTAATTTGCTGCTTATCATTATATTTTTTTTAGTTGTAACTAAATAGAATTAGCTATAACAAGGAACCATCTTTATCATAAAAAAAGTAATAAACGATTTTTGGGTTTTTTTTCATCAGACAAATTCGATGACAAATTCGATTTACAATAGTAATTGACGGAATGTTTTTTCGCTACATTGACAATATCAACACCGCCCTCTCCCGAGTGCAATTGATTTTTTGATGTATTTGAAAAAACTTAGCCATAATTTGAATAAAAACAGCTATTACATGCGTAGAGCTTCACTTGAAGAACACGTAGCAACTCTTAGTTTGTTTTTTCTTCGTTTATTCCTTATTTAAAAAAATATTAAATAATCTGAACGAAATATCGAGTTTAGCATAAACCTTTTTTGACAAGAAAAGAAACGGTAGAAAATGCAAACAATTATGAATAACTTCGATTGCGCTTGGTTGACGATTAAAAGATCGGTTTTTTTTATTTTAGCTCAAGTCTTAAGTTCCGGTTATTAACTTTGTTCATTTTACAACAATAAAAAAGCAAAAAGCAGGCTGGTAATTCAAGTAAACAAAAAAATATCGGCATGGCTCTCAAAATGAAAAATAATTTCATACAATGTAAGTGTTTTTTTTTACTTTTACGTTCAAATTCAGTGCACTTTGTCGCTGGAGGCACTTTAAACAACTTTAGCATTGGTCCGTCAAAAATAGAAATCATGAAAAAAGTACCAAAAAATAACCTCAGAAAAACCTTAGGTCCAAATATAATTGTTTGTTTTTTTCGTCGTCATTTATTAAATTCATGCACAAGAACAAAATTTTAAAAAAGTTCTCATTTATTTCGTTTCTATTTTTTTTGAATTGAAAGAGCGCAATTCAGTTCGAGAAAAAAATGCCGAAAATGCGAAATTAATTTAGAATGTTTTTCTTCTGTTTAGTTTTGCTGGGCATCAATTTGGGTTTGTTTCTGACTAGTGACAACAACACAGTATCTGCGGTTAGAGTAAGCTGTTCATCTGACTGGGACTGTTCGTTGGCTAGTGTCTTCGATAGCTCAGTGGGAGACGAGTGCTGCGATGGAATATGCAAAGACGGCTGCTTCGAGTGAGCTATAAGCTATATATTCTTTTTCACAAAGTATTTTTTCGAGAAGAAACGGTTAATTGATCCATGTAATATAAAGAGACGTTCATAGTGAGAGCTTTTAGTCAAATGCAGTATTGGGAAGAATTCTACGCCTCGGTCTGGAAAGTCGCGCCGTCTGCGCCTTGTTCTGGAAAGTCGCGCCATATGCACCGTGGTCTGGACTGTCTCCACTCTGATTGCTAAAGTCGCGCCGCATCCACCACGGTCGCAAAGAATTGTTTCTTAGTCGCGCCGTCTCCGCCTCGGTCTGAAAAGTCGCGCCGTCTCCGCCTTGGTCTGAAAAGTCGCCCCGTGTCTGAACGCGAAAGTCGCTAGCTTCCACTACGGTGGCGATGAAATGATTCTTGGTCGTGCCGTCTCCACCTCGGTCGCGAAAGTTTTGAAAGTGCACTTTTTGGCCGCGCTGGTCAGGCCGATCGCGCCGTTGCTTTTTGAGTCGCACCGTTTCCTGAGTCGAGCCATATCCACCTCAATCGCAAAAGCCCTGAAAATTTTTTAAAAAGTCGCGCCGTCTCCATGTTGGCCTGGAAAGTCGCGCCGTCTCTATCTAGGTCTGGAAAATCTGGAAAGGACTAAGTTTGGTCGCACCGGTTACGCCGTTTCCTGAGCCGCAGGGTCGCGCCGTATCCGCCTCGGTCGCCAAAGTCGCGCCTTAGTTTTTCGGTCGCGAAAGTGTGGAAATGGCAACTCTTGGTCGCGAGAGTCTGGACATACCAAATATGAGTCGCGATGATTTGGTCATGCCACCTCCGTTTCGGTTCATCATCATCGCGACGGATCATCATGGTCGCAAAAGTCTGGAAATGCCAGGTTTTGGTCTCCAAAGTCTGACATGCCTAAGTTGGGCCTGGAAAGTCTGGACATGTCAAATTTTTGTCGCAAAAGTCTGGGCATGAGTCTGTTTTATTTCACTGTTATTTTTTTACCATCGCCATAGTAAAAATTAACATTCGCCCACTACCCCCTCGCCTAGTGCCCCACCCCGCCCACTCCCCCTCTCCCTTTACTTGACGAGGAGGGTATTTAATGGTCGAAGGTGGGGGGATGTTTCTACGGGGGATATGGTGGGCGAAGACGTTTTTGCATTTCCCCGGTCTTCGCCCACCATATCCCCCATCGCAGGACCATTCCCCCGCCTTCAACCAATAAAAACCCTCCTCGTTCAAGTAAGGGGAGAGGGGTAGTGTGCGGGGGCTTGAGAGTGGGGGGTCGAAACCTGGGGGTGTGGGGGGTTTAGATGAGGTGGTGGTGATAGGGTATGCGGTAGGGGTAGGAGAGGTGGTGGTTTGGTAAAATGTGGAGAGAAAAATACAAAAATTAGGGGTGGGGTGGTAAACTTGGAGTGGAGAGAGAGAGAGGGTGGAGTAGGGTGGGACAATTTTTTGAGTTTTTCTTAGGTATGAACATGTTTGTTCGGGCTTTAATTTTGCAGAACGATGATTTTTTAACAATTTGGTGTCATTTTGATGTAATTGTGCAAATTTTTTATCTATAATTTTCAAGAGTTTAATTAGCTATACACAATGTTCGCCTACAAAAATTGATTTCATTGTCTAATTAATAGATTATAATGGATTTTCAAATATTGAAAATAATCGATTATAATCCCCTAAAAATCCATTTTCATGGTTGGAAGGGTCATGAAAATTGGTTAAATGAGCTAATCCATATCCCATTGTGGTACGGCGTAGTTTAGAGATCATTATGTTATTACTATTGTGCTAGCTATCTGTGCTAAACTCGCCTTTGTCTATCAAGGTCGTGACCGACCTGCCAATCCATTCTAGTTTAACACATGCCTTTTAACACATGTGTTCTCTTTCAATCTTCTGCAACTTATGAAAGATTTGAGTTGTATTTATTTTCATTGTCATGACATAATCTAAATACTAAACTATCTATATTATTTACATTACTATAACATAACAAGGAGAATAGATTCTTGTTTTACATCTGTCTTTTAACATCCCACATGGCGCAGCCAGCAGTTTCGACCTCAGAGGATCGAACTGACCTGTTAGGCGTATCCGTGTTTTGGCATAAACCAACTGCGGACCCACCCTGTAGCTGGAATTCGTGGATAGGTCAATTCAATTTGGCAATCACTCTGAGAGAGAGATGTGATCCACGCGAATTTTTAAAACCTCCGGGTGTCGTACACAACGATCCTGCCCCAAAACCAGAAGTCGTGGGGGTGGATGAAGATGCTGCAGCAATCGCAAATTGTATTGCACGAAATGACGCAGCGGTCCAAAAAGTCACGGAAATGAATGAAGAGCGTCGGGCGAAAGGTCCCAGAGTGGCACCAGGAGTGTATTATTACGAGGTTGAACAACGTGTTAAATCTCGTTTATTTTTCTCGCTCGGCTCAGAAGGGAGGAAAAGATTCCTCCAAAGTTATCCGCATGCGGATCTGAGCGCATTATCATATCGGGATTTCCACGAATTCTGTGTTCTCTTGTTCAGAAAGGAGAAAAATTTCATCATCGAACGTATGCAAATATACAACGCGGTACATTCAGACCGAGAAAGTTTGGAAGCATTTTATCTGCGTTTGACGGGACAAGCCGCCCTGTGTGGGTGGACAATTGATCAAGAAAAAGAAGTCGTAAGAGATATCTTCATTGCCAAAATGAGATATAAGGATATTCAGAGAGAATTATGTATTCATCCAGGTGCTACTCCGGAGGATTCTCTGAAATCCGCGTTACTTCAAGAAAAAGGAGCACAAACGGCCACCGATTTGCAAAGGCAACTTGGGAGTTCGTCATCGACGGGCAATTCCTCCCAGTCAGGTGCCATCTTGGGTCAAAACTCCCGGATAAAACAGGAACCCACCTTCTCTGTCCAGGGTAAGAAACTTTCTGACAGGATTAGTCGGGCACAGAATAGTAAGCAAAAGGGGTTCAACGAAAAATCGAAGTCGTGTTACTTCTGTGGTAACAGATTCTCAGCAAACCACAAGCAGAGTTGTCCAGCCAGAAATGTAACTTGCAGGAACTGTAACAAAAAAGGCCACTTTGCCAAGTGCTGCAATTCTAAGAACGTTGCGAACGTAGAAGCTGAGTCAGACGAGACAGTGGAAGAAAATTGCAATTTCATCACATCCGATAGTGAGTCGGAATTCGCTGTTTTATCTGTAGCAGCAGGGAAACCAAGTCTTCCAATTAGGTCAGTGAAAAAGTTGGAGGTGGTCAATGCCGCCACGGGCAAGTTACGTTCTATCCAGATTACACTACGTTGTGGCAAGACGTTTTTTAAGGCAACAGTGGATACTGGGAGCCCAGCTTCTTTCGTGAATAAGAAGACAGCAGACTATATCCTGAAAACTGTACCTTCAGCCAAGATCCTCACGGTCCAAGAAAATCCAATCGATACAGTATACGTTGACTATAATGGGAAGAAAATTGAATTGATGGGTACGTTAATTATGGATGTATCATCTTTGGGATGGCATATCAAGTCTGCAAAATTCCTTATTTCGGAAAACCGTACATGTTGTTTACTGGGTTTAGATTTGCAACCCCATTTGTGGGTAAGAACAACGCAAGTTAGACCCGATCGTCCTTTGGTGGGAGAAATCTCCCAATCAAACCCGAATTTAATGTCGGATTCCTGGAAAACTCACTTCCACCAAAAATTTCATCGTGTATTCAATAGAGTCGGCAAAGCCAAAAACCACAAAATATTCTCTACTTTCAAGTCTCCACTCGTTCCGATTCAAGAAAAGCAAAGGAGAGTACCGGTGCATATTCAAGATAAAGCTGGTCAGGAAATCCAAAAACTAATTCATGAAGGACACGTGGTTAAACTTAATAAATGTACAAGTGAACATTTCATCTCTCCGATCGTTATTACGGCTAAGAAAGATGGCTCTGTGAAATTAGCTATGGATGCTAAACCTATGAATGATCAAATTCATTAGAACCATTACCAAATGCCAAATTTGTTGGAACTGTTGGACTCGGCCGCCCAGATAATAACATCGGACACTTCAGGAGAGGTTTGGTTTACATCCTTAGATTTAAAATACGCATTCAGTCAGATCCCGCTCAGTGAAGAAGTCAGTCGTCATTGCAATTTTAATATCGTCTGTGGAGAACAAACTGGCACGTATCGGTTCAAAACGGGGTTTTATGGATTAACGGACATGCCAAAGGAATTCCAAAAAGCGATGGATAATACTATACAAGGGTTGTCAGGAGTATTTTGTTTCCTGGACGATATTCTGATTGTCTCGAAGGGTTCAGTCGAGGATCACAACATTCTTGTAGACAAAGTGATAAGTCGTCTGGATGAAGAAGGTTTTGCTCTGAAACTTTCGAAATGCGACTTTTCTATGAATCAATTATCTTGGCTAGGATATGATATCGATTCAGAAGGATACAGACCGAAACGTTCTAAGATAGAGGCAGTACTAGCTCTGGAACCTCCAAGGACGCTTAAGCAACTCCGTTCGTTCATGGGCATACTCAACCACCTACAACGATTTTTGCCGAATATCCAGGTCCATTCAGACCAATTACGCCCATCCTTGAAAGCAAGTAATAAAAGTAAATTCGAGTGGGGGGATGGCCAACAAACCGCGTTTCGTAACACCTTACAATTGATAGCGAATATTACAAAAATGTACCACTATGACCAAAGTCGGAACTCGCGGGTGAAATGTGACGCTAGTCATAGTGGTATGGGTGCTGCATTAGAGCAAGAGATCGAAAAGGATGTTTGGGTCCCAATTGCTTTTGCGTCACGTTTTCTAAATGATCAGGAGAAGAAATACAGCACTAATGAATTAGAACTTCTAGCAATTGTATGGTCGTGTGAGCATTTTCGAACTTATTTGCTGGGAAATCATTTTGTAATTTTAACTGACCATAAAGCAATTATCTCGGCGTTAAAGACCAACCGAGGTAACAAAACTCATCAGTCGCGTTTAACCAGATGGGCCGATAGATTAT